TTTACTAATTTTATGAATTTAGATATAAATTTTTGAGTTTGTTTATTACCCCCCCAAAAAAAAAAAGTTCAAATTATTGGATCATGTTGTAACTCTTATGGTTTACTTTTAAATAACTTTAATGGTTAAGTTATAATTTTTAGGATCAATTCCAAGTAACCCCAATAAATGACCCAAAAAAATTATAAATGGGTCCCAAAAATTGTAAATGACCCCTCAAATTTGTGAACAACTCCTAAATATTGTAAATATCTCCCAAAATTTGCAAAAAAAATTCACAGAACTTGTGCATGATGGTACGGTACTGAATTTTTTTTTTGGTACTGCAACCATCTCCTATACTTTACGTTAATTTCTTTTAATAGTAGATCACTGCATGATGGGAGAATCTAAATCTATTCTAATCAATCTAGGCATTTGCATTATTGAAATACTATGCAAAACATTTTCAATTCACCAGATTCATTTTTGATAATTGAACCAAAAAGGATACATTTAGGCTAATTACCATGCTTAGGGCTGGTCATTTGGTTGAGCAGAGAAAAAGGAAGCTCATTGGGATGGGTGGCCCTAAAACAGCCCATCCAGCTTGAAATTTTTGTCCACCTTTGTCCATTGATTTTGTGGGTTGGAAGCACGGGTGATAATCTAGTCGAGTCAATTGAGTTTGAGTCGAGTTTGTCGTACTCATTTTTTCAAACAAGTTTATTATTAAATCTAAACGAGTCAAGCCNTTCATTTAGGCTAATTACCATGCTTAGGGCTGGTCATTTGGTTGAGCAGATAAAAAGAAAGCTCATTGGGATGGGTGGCCCTAAAACAGCCCATCCAACTTGAAATTTTTGTCCACCTTTGTCCATTGATTTTGTGGGGTTGGAAGCACGGGTGATAATCTAGTCGAGTCAATTGAGTTTGAGTCGAATTTGTCGTACTCATTTTTTCAAACAAGTTTATTATTAAATCTAAACGAGTCAAGCCTGAACTAAGACCAAGATTTACATATAAATAAGTGGAGCTTATCAAACTCATTTTTCTAAATTAGTTTAAAANTCGTACTCATTTTTTCAAACAAGTTTATTATTAAATCTAAACGAGTCAAGCCTGAACTAAGACCAAGATTTACATATAAATAAGTGGAGCTTATCAAACTCATTTTTCTAAAATAGTTTAAAACGTTATTTAAGTTCAACTAATTTAGAAAACGAGGCGAGCCTAAACCAAGCCCAAAACAAGCTGAATTTGAACTAAGCTCGAGTAGCTTGGTNATTAGTTTAAAATGTTATTTAAATTCGACTAATTTAGAAAACGAGGTGAGCCTAAACCAAGCCCAAAACAAGCTGAATTTGAACTAAGCTCGAGTAGCTTGGTTCAATTATCAACTCTAATTATATGAATAATGCTCAAATTTGACTTGGGATTTCTTTCCCTTGGCTTAACTTTGGAATGAATTCAAACATCTTTTCATCCAGATCAAACCGGTCCAGGCTAATTTTTTTTTTGTTGGGTTTTGAACCTCTAGCCGCGACTCTCACCTTAAGATACTAAGCCAACACTTAACCAAACTAACAATGCATGACGTACTACACGAATAAATTTAAATAATATTTGTTTATAAAAAATTTAAATTATACAAGTAATTAAATTAAAGAATAAATTAAGTGTCGAATAATTAATTCATATTTTAATTATTATTAAATTTAATTATTCATTTATTCTATGCGTCTTTGAATAATTAATCTGTCATTTATTTAGGTATCTCTATAATCCCCTTAGTCATTTATTTATCTAATTATATTATAGAATTATTAATTTTTATTTTGTTAAATAGATTGATTAGATCGCTTATAATATTACTAATTATTCTCTATGCCCGAAGGCATAGAATAATAAAAAAAAATGGTCAACAATACACATATTTGTATTCACACATAAAATCAAATCACAAACATAGAGGAGAGAGAAATTAATTTAAGTATCGATTGTAGTAGGGATGAGCGATGGTAGTAGTGGTGGGCAGTAGTGATGATAGTGAGAGATGGTGATGGTTATGGTGAGTGGCGAGGACTGTGGTGGTGGTGGTGACAATCGTGAGTGACTATGGTAATGGTGGTGATGAATTTTGAGTGATGATGGTGGTAGTGGCAGTTATGGATGATGGTGGGTAGTGGTGGTGGGGTGTGGGTGGTGGTGGACAACGGTGATGGTAGTTGGCAATGGTGGTGGTGGGCAACAACGGTGGTGATGAGCGGTGACGATGGTGGTAGTAGGTGACAGTGAGTGGCTGTAGTGGTGGGCGATGATGGGTGGTGGTGGTAATTTGATCGTGTAATTCAAATTGGTAATTATATGTGTATAATAATTTAACATATATAAAACTTTACTTCTTTATATACATATAAAAAATTGTATGTAACTGTCCCACTAATAAATGAATTCAAAAGAATTTAGAAGTCTTTATAAAAGAGTACAAAATAAGCTAAAAATCAAATATGAATAAAAAATAAAAATTAAATAAAAATATATAAGTGTGTATAATTGACTTTAGTAGGTTAATTCAAACTAGATAATAAAAATGGCTCCATGCGCAACAACACCAACTATCATAAACATCCACTGATTTTACATGTGATGTTGTGAATAACGACAATTTGGTATAATCAGTAGTAGGATGGCAATAGATTAGAAAAAAATGGATATTCATCCAAATTTATTCCGTTTGAACAGAAGGTGGATCGAATGTATTAGACAGTGGATATGTATGAGAATACCCGTATAAATCTGAGAATAATAATGGCGAAGATAGACTGAAACTCATCCACATTTGTTATACAGTTTGTTTTTGTAAGTTATTATGTTTGATTCATTTGTTATATAATGAGTTTTCTTCCATCTTGTAAATTCATTTGTGATGTTTTATAATTTTTTTAAAATTTTTTTTCGTAAAATTCTAGAAATTAATTGTTATGGTTGAAGATGGTGGTAAGAATGAAAACAAGGATTAAAATTTACTCACGGGATGAGAATGGGGATTAAAACTTTTGCCGCTAACAAGATGAACCAAAAGTGGATGAATATTTTTTTAAGGGAGTACGGGAGTAGAGCCTACTCCTCCCGCCCCTGCTCTCACCCCAGTCCACCACCATCCCTAGTCAAGTAGCTAGATATGGAAGGGGTATGGAACTTCGGCCCGAGGCTAATTCAAACTAATGAATGTGTGCTAATGCTTAAGTTGAAGGTAACCCAAACCCAATGGAAATGGGCTGGACTGGGTTGGAGAATAATACTTGGGCTTGAGTTGAAATTACACCTAAGCCCAACCATATTATCTATGTCAACATATTTATTGGGTTGGATTTGACTAACCTGTCCACTAGTGTCCAGTGAGCCACAATCTTCTAGATGTGCACCGTACACATTCCTTTGCACTTGTATATGGTGCTTTTATTTTATTTTATTTTTTTCTTTTCTCATTTTGATTAATTAGATTTCTCTAGAAATATAATATAGTAATTTGGAATCACATTAAAATTGTCTCGTAACGAAGTACACTTCACTTTTGTTATACGGGATATACTCAAATAACATGCTCGTGTCTAGCTAGTGCACATGTTGAAGTTTTCTTCACGTTCTAACATCAACTAAATATTTAAATATATATAAAAAAAAGCATTAATTATATATTTAAGAAATTATTTATATTAATTGGGACTACGATGGATACAAGCATCGATCAACACAAACTATTATTAAATCATTTTTTTATTGTAATATTGAATATTTACTGGATATGAAATATTTAACAATAAATGCATGGGGGCCTTTTGCTAATAAGACCTGCATTATTGACTTTGAAAGAAATGAATAAAACTTTTGATTTTTCTTTCTCTTTTGCCTTCAGCTTCCACCCTCTCTTCTCCATTGTCAAACTTTGTACCAACCAACTTTTAATTTTTTTTGGGAGTGGTTGGGGGAGGAAGGTTTAGACAGAGTGTACCATACAAAACTATAATTTATAATATAAGACATTTATAATTTATAATATAAAACATGACAAAATTCAATAAGTTCATCCGACGGTCTCAAATAGACTCATTAAACGACCACTAATATCTCTCTCAAAATCATTCACATTAAATTTTTTTTTCTCCCAAATCCATCACTTACCACTTATATTGCACCGTTCCTTCAGATACGAATTATCCTTAAGAAAAGAATATGCCTAAAACCATTCATAGTGTGGTATGAAAAAAAAAAATTTAAAAGAGGGGCATAACAGAATCCAATAGTGATTAACTAGGTTAGGCTCAATAGGTAAAAATTTGAATAGGCTACACCATTCGGCTAACCACCTCGTGGTCTGTTAACTACTAGTCTTAAATGTGAGATCGTCCAAGCCCATACACCTTTTAGATTAATAATTATAATGTAAATTTCATATGTACATAATCATCAAATTGAGTTATTCGAGTTCGACTTAAGTTAAGATTGTTCAGGTTTGTCTCGTTATTTAAACAAATCGAACGTAAACACTTTTTTAGGTTTGTTTAAAAAAAGAGTTTGATAAGTTTGAGTCGAGCTCAATCTCGATCAATTTGACTTGTTTATATGTAAATACTCGGACTCATCTTAGATTCGATTCTTTCTGAACTTGTTCAAGCTTAGCTCATTTTCTAAATAACTTGAATTTTAACAATTTTTTTTGAACTCGCTTAAAAAAATGAGTTCGATATACTCAGTTCAACGTCGTTTAATTATCAACCTTACATACAAATGTCATTGACTAATGATTTTTTTGTTAACGATTAGAATCTTGTATACTACTAGATAAGCCATTTAAATACCGTTGGTTAAAGAAATATAATAACCAAGGTTTGGAGGTAGTAGGTTGGCGCAACCATTTGACTTTGTAAAACCAAACAAAGTCATAGTACAGCTATGAGCACATACACATTACCAAAAACGCGTTTTCTCCGTTGTCTTAAAATTGGAAAGACCCTTCTTCTAATCATCTCATGCGCACAAAAGCCTTAACCTTCTTGTTAAAAGACAACATAGCAGAAAATTCCCAAGCTTTCAAATTCTCTCCGGTGGCCGGAAAACCAACGTTAAAATTCCCTCTCAAGGATTTCCAACTTTCTATTGATCAAAATGTGTCCTTTAAGGTTCATCTTGGTGTTTTTCTCGGCGGTGTTGGCGGGATATTTTGCGTGGAAAACAGTTCGTTCTTTGCCGGAAATTGAAACGGCGATTTCGGATGATTCGATGAGGGAGAAGGTATCCTCCGAGGACAAAGAAAAACTTAATTTGATTAAGGTATAACTGTGATTCTTTATTTTAAAGATTCTTTCTTTTCCCTTTCTAAAGTTTGGTTTTCTGATGTTTTGCAAGATTAGTAATTTTTTATTGTTCTTATTCTTATTATTTATGATACCATGAATATTTTAGTTTATTCTAGAGTGTTAAAAACTGCAAGGGACATCTATTTTATTATTTTCAATTACTTTCCTAAAATTAGGAATTTAAGTCATTTTTTAAAAACCTTTAGAAGTTGAGGAGTTTTTTTAAATCGTCCTATATACTATAAATTCTATTGAGTCAAAAATATCAATAATATTTAAGAGAGTTTTTCCCGTAAATTTAGAGTGTTGTGTGCGTTTAGGGTTGTAATCAAACTGAGTTTTGCGAGTTCGGATTGAGTCTATCGAGTTCGTTTTTCTAAACAAACTTAAAAAATTATTCAAGTTTAGCTCATTTAAAAAATGAGCCGATCTCTAATAATTCAATTATTTTACATATAAACGAGTCGAGTTTTGCGAGCTCGAGCCTAAAAAAATTCGAGCTCGACTCGTGTTCTAAACGAACTGAACTCGAGTCGAATTCTCCTCGAGCCGAGCCTAAGTAGCTCGATTTAATTATCGGTCATATGCATGCTGATATATGATAAAAATGACAATTTCTTTGTGTCCCATTCCCATTGGGTCATTTTCCCATCCTAACTTCTAAATTCTTGGGTTTCAGATGGTTCAAAATGGCTTCTGGCTATTTGTTGACATGGCCAGTGGGAAGTACTTGTGGAGGAATCTGAGAGAGATGAAAGAATGATGAGAAAGTGAAGAGCTGATAGAAATCAACAAATGAAAGAATCGGTTTTTTTCTCATGAAAAATTTCTATTGACAATCAATCAGTGAATTTAGGTAGATAAAATTTCTTCCATACGAGAGCGGGCCTTAGCATAACGATAAGGTTGTTTCATTGTAATATGAAGGTCACAGGTTTAAGCCGCGAAAATAACCTATTTAGTTGAAAGTAAAACTACGTACATTTAACAACCCTAAACTTTGTAATTCTTTCCACCTATTTTTTTGAGAGTTCTTCTGTGTTCAATATGTGGAGAGATCTCAAAGAGATTGAGATTTACTGAAGACCAATGAATATTAATTGATGAAGAACTTACAAGAGGAACATGTAGATT